GCATGATATCTTGAGAATGGGGGACTACATGATCCCTTATCTATAGGACGTGTCAGAGTTCGACAGCGGCTTTTGAGAGTTACGATTGTTAATCAGATTTTGAAGTCGTACTTGCATTTATAGTTATTAGACTTATCCAAGTGGGAGACTGTTGGATTAGGTGTCTAAGCCCATAACTATATTTAGTATGTACTTGACCTGATAGTAGCATGGTCCTTTTGGGTTGCCTTTATCAAACAACTTGACTGGATGAATTATGGAGAAAGAGGTTAATTATGATTTATTAATATATTATAGGAATAATAAGAGAAATCATATTATTTAATTAATATTGGTCACGAATTAATTTAGAATTAATTTTGTGGTCAAAAGAGATTAATTAAATTAAGGGGACTAATACTGTAATTATAAGATAGTTACAAAGTTGGGCTTAGGATCCCTAAAGAAGGGATGGATGAATTCTATGGGGAAGCCCACATAGAAATCATCCATAGGGGCCTTCTGGAAGGATCATGTGGACTGCTTAAGGCCTAAGCAATCAGATTAGGGTTTTGACTGAAACCCTAACAACTCAGTTATATATGGACCCTATGGCACTCCTAAAATCAGCCACTAGAAACCCTAGAAGGATCTCCAGCTGATTTTGTGCCTCTTCCTCTCTCTCTCTCTCTCTCTCTCTCTCATTCTTCCAACTTGCTTTTGGTGTTTGTGATCTATTATAGGCATCGCATTTGAGGTGCTAAGTTCTCAAAGGTTGAAAATCAAGTAAGCTACAATTGAAAGGTAACATTCTAACTTTGTTTTAGTTATGAATTTCAATTTATGCATGTTAGTTTAGGGTTATAGCTTTGGATGATTATTATTGCACATGCAATTTGAGAAAACCTAGATCCAAAGCTTTAGGGTTTCATGTGCACCATAGGAATGATGTAATGCTCATAACCCAACATGATATTTGTAGGTGCAATGAAAGTAAGGAGGTATCGCTGACGAAGCATGGGTAGGGACGTAGACCAAGTGGCTACCCATGATAGATGATACTGGCGTTGAAGGGAAGAAAGAATCGTGGAGGTAAGAGTACAAATTTGGTGGTAGTTTGGCATAGAAAATACCACCAACGACGATGCTAAGCTGGTGAGATTAAAAGATGCAACACTACCAATGGTGGCTTGCAAAGAACCATCGATGGAGTGGTAGTGGGGCAAAAATACGGTGGGAATGCTTTGGGTAGGGCGAAAATATGGTGGGATGGCTTTAGGGTAGGGGAGGATGGATGACGAGAGATGAAAACTTACTTGATGTTGTTGATGTAGGGATGTCAGAGCTATGATGATCATCGGTAAATACAAACCATGGTGCGATTTGAAGTTTTTAACTACAAAACCATTGCTCAAACTGCACTGCACCACATAATAAAAAGCAATATACATTGATCATTCATTGGCCATTACAGATTGGATGGACAATCATGAAATTCCATGACAAAACATACAAATAAATGCAAATGGGTATTGCCAGATATATAGACCAAGCCTGAGTATTTATTATATTTGGCTCGTCACGGCCCCAATTAAGGTTATTAAGAATGATATGGGAAGAGCACAAAATTATCAACAACTTATATGTTTTGCGTTTTGAAAATTCTATGATTATCAATGTCATAATAAGCATGGAAGTTGGAAGAAGTGTGTTGATGACCGAAAATTCGATCTTACCAGGGATGCTTTTTTTATCGTTCCATATTACTATATTAAACTATCTATCTAAATAAGTTAGGGTTCAAAAGCTTCGCAAGGTTCCATGTTTCCTAAACTGTTCACATCGCATCAAACTGCATAATGTAGTTTTTTGTTTTCAAAATTCATAAACCACATTTTGTGTTGTAGTTTGCGGTTTTAATTCTAAACTACACCACACCTCACTGTAAACACTTTTACTAGTAATAGTCTTACAACCACTAGAAAATAATGACAAAAATAAGGAACTAAATTCTCACAACCGATAATTTCTCTTAGGCTATGTAGTTAATAGCGGAACTATAACGGTGATATAGCGGTTAGCGGAGGTAAGAAATGCTATTTCAAAATAACAACTTTGAATAGTAGTGGCACTATTAGTGCCAAAATTTACCATTATTTACCACCGCTATAGCTGTGTTATAACTGCTATTTGAATAAATTTCATTTTTGGGCTATTTCACATAAAAAACGTTTTTTGTGTCATTCCATTGAATAAAATTGTTTTTCCTTATCCCAAACCAAAACTTTTATGTCATTCTATTGAATAAAATTGTGACTGTGATGATTTTCATTGAAACCATATATGTGTTGTCTTGTTAATTGTGTTTAAGACTTAAAGTACTACAGTACTGTCAAATTGCTTAATAATTTTATTTGCTAACTGAAATTTTGTTGAAATATGATAAAATGCCAAGTATCATTTATGTTTTCTTGTTGCTTGTGTTAAAGTTTGATTAATTGTGATATTGGTAACCGACCTGTGAACTATGATTATCTAATTATGATATATGAATGATCATCGGTAAAGGTGGACATAGTGTTCACTTACAAAACCTAAAAAAATGTGACAACACAAAAACAAGAATAGGTTCCGGAGAGACGGGAATTAATATTTTTTTTCTCAGAATTAAAGATCCATATCAATATATGTTTAAGCCAAAAGAATTGTATTATAACATTAACGGTTGAATGATCACAACTTTTTATTCATGTATATAAATAAACATTTCATAATAATATACAATAAAATATTATTACTATTGTAATTAATTTTATTGTACGCGATGATTACTAATTTTAATGGTGAATTCGTATGATCATGTTGTTTTGTGGTTAAACACCGACACTGATTATTAGATAATTATATCGGATAATTATCAGTTATATAAAATAGGAAATGATTAATATTTATAAGGTTAAAAGGAGTAGCGTCATGCATATTGCAGTGTCACATCGCTATTTTACATGCCATCTTAGCTTTGTCACATTACATATTTATTTTGTCATTGAGATAGGTTGTCACACCTATTTTACATGCCATCTTAGCTTTGTCACATTACATATTTATTTTGTCATTGGATAGGTTGTCATAATATTTTCTGAATTATTTGTAAAAATAGAAACAATTATTAATTTATGACTTTCTCTTTCATCTACAAAAACTTACCGGGTGTCTTACCAAGTCACGGTCAAAGGACAATGTTCCATGTTCCCATTAGCTTAGCTTGCCAAGAAGTGACATTGAACAGCTCCCTCCAGCCTAAATATATACAAATGATAACTAATGAAACGGGACATAAGTCGAAAATATAAAATTAAAAACTTTATCATGTAAAATCGACCCTTATAATTCATCCAAGTGTTTGAATTTAGAAATTTTATGAGCGTTTTGTTTCTTTTTTCTTTTTTCATATTTACATGTGAAAATTATGAATTCACACTTTTGAATGTATGAAATTACCAAAAATAAAATAAATTTAAGAATAGCATGTGATCATAAAATTGAAACATGTGGGATAAACCCAAAACAAGTTTTTTTAAATGTTTATAATTTTTTATAGGTATGTTTGGCATGTCACAACTAATTTATAAATTAATTTATTTTATTTTTATTTTTGAATGTTTGATATTGTCATGTTTGAAAAACTAAAAAATAGTTTATAAATTAGTTTTTTAAAAGTTACTTTTTGGTTTATTTTTGGCATGTCACAACTATCTTATAAGCTTTTCAAGTTGTTTTAGATTGTTATTTTTTGCAAACCAAAACGTAGCCGACAAACTAACTTATAAGTCATTTAAAAAAAAAGATACTAAAATTAGCTTTTGAACTAGCTTATAGAGATTTTTAAAAAATTCTTCCATATATACCTTTTATTAATTATAATAAACATATTTTTCTACATACCCTTATATGTCATTTTACATTTTGCAGCCAACTTATCAACTAATTTTTACCAAATATCATTTTTATCAACCAACTTAGCTACCAGATAGCTTTTCGGCTATCAATTTTTTCAGCTATCAATTAGTTTTTCAGCTACCAACTAACTTTTAGTTAGCTTATTAGCCGGTTTAACCAAACATTATTTTTCATCGGTCAGTTTTTTTTTAGGTATCAATTAATTTGGCAACTAGTAAAGGAAACATAACCTAAGGCCCCTAAGCCATTCAGGTGAAGGTTTAGTGGTAATTTAATTTTATATTCTTTCTATTACTTTATAAACACATGGAGTATTAAATTATGGGACGTAAAAGTTAGCTTCTTGAGAGTTTCACTCTTAACAGAGAATCTCAATTTCAAATGTTTTTATCACAAATTGACAAAATTCCTCAATGCAACTCCTCCTTCCCTCAAAGGACACAAATTTCAACTTTCAAGTAAACAAAAAGATACGCTCTGTTCCCCCCTCAAACTTCACTTTTATTGTGTTCATGTTGGTCTTGGAGAAGAAGCTATCTGCAATATAAAAATCAAATCAATGTAATTTTTTAGTAAATGATTCGAAATCGGTAACAAATGAGTCCAACTTTCAGAGTTATATAAGGCCAAACACTAGTTGAGCTATCAAATAACAAATTCAAATACAAAAGAGTTTTGAAAAGACAAACTCTAAATACATAACAAGTCGAATTCAAGTTTATAAAAGACTATGCTTGAATTTTATTGAGTTTCTGGAGCCTATGTATATGATAATAATCTTGAGACGAACTAACATTAAACTTGTTTCATTAAACATACAAATAGTTTTCAAGATATACAATATTGTTTAAGTCTTCCGTGTATCATGTTTCAACTTTCAACCACTATATAAACACTCGTCAAGCTAAAATCACTCCTGTTTTTCATTGTTTTATATTCTTTAAAAAACAATATTTACGAATACAGACAAATTGTAGTCCCAAGGGAGAGGTCTTTTATCGCCGCTCGCCTCTCAAGAATTGCTACTCTCAAACACACACACACACAAACAGATGTTAAATATGGTTGCATTCAGAATGATGAGGTTGGAAAGAGACTATGATGATTTGCAGCCGCTACCACCACCTGTGACAGTGGGGGAGAGCCACTCAACTCATGGCTCCCTGGAAAAGCTGGTGGTGGTGCTGGCGGTGATAACCATCGTCGGCGTAATCGCAGGGATGATAGCTCGGCTGTGTGGCGAAAGACATTACGGTGGCAATGGAGATCATGAAATGGAAGGGTGGATTGAAAGAAGATGCAAGAGCTGCATTGATGGCGGCGTTTCATCTGCACCACCACCAGCAGCAGCAGCAGCAGAAGAAGCAGCAAAGCCGGAAAAGGAGGAAGCCAAGAAGGACCAACATGAGAAAAAGTAATATTAGAATAGTTTTTTTTCCCTTTTTCTATGTTATAATTTTCTTTTTCTAAGGAACTGGCCGATTTTCGCTACAAATTTATAAAAAGAGCGAATTAATCAAGTCGTTTCCGGTCGCCCCATTGTCGAGGTAATTTTAGGATTGGAATAGTAAAGAAGCTAAGAAAAAATATCAAAGAAAATGTGCTTTTAAGTTTTTTTGGAAGATAAAGGAATGTAAGGGGAGGAAAAGGCAAAAAAAAAAAAAAAAAAAAAAAAAAAAAAAAAAACCG